CCATAATTAATGAGGAAATTCATGATAATGAATTATGAATCTTAATAATAACAGTTATATTATTATTAAATTAGATATTTAATAATAACGGTTACATGATCATGTTGCCTAATCGACTCATCAATCTCAATCATATGTGGTTTATCAAGGCATCGAGGAGCTCTTAGGACTTGGGTCATTTGGTTAGATAACAGATTCAACATTTTATTATGATATCCTAATTTAGTTCTAAGGGTGTTTATTTTGGTTTTGGAATCATTAGGTTTGGGTTAGTTTTGACCTCGCCTAGATAAATTATTTTTTGGTAATGAGGTTGTTAACTATTACAATGCACAATACAAAAATGCAATAATTCAAGTGGTTGTCTCACTCCTTTTTATTTTTGTGAGTTAATTTTAAGGTTTTATATTTTAATGGTTATATAATTATAGTAAAAAGGGAGAGAGAGAGAGAGAGAGAGAGGGTGATAAATATTAAAAAAAGTGAGAAAAACATGGGGGATAAGAAGTGATGAAAATCATGATCTAATGGAATATATAATATTTTGATAAAAATATTAATAAAGTTTTTAAAAATCATCATGAATCACGAATTAAGTGATCTACTAACTCTATAGGGACAATCACCCCAAAAGTTCAATTTCAAGAGAGAAGTGACATCAGGGAGGATAGAAGACTAGAAGAGAGAAGTTGTAATTGTTTTCATTCAAATTGAAAGTGTTTATCCATCAATGTAGGCAATGATTTCCAAGAACTTGTTTATCTATCAATGTAGGTAATGATTTCCAAGAGTAACTCCTTAGGGAACTTATATGCCTTTTAGAAATCCAAAATATGACTTTAAGAAGACCTAAATAACTTTAAGATAATTTATTATAGTTAAAATAAAAAGAGCACACTTAATACACAATTAGGGTCTCAAAGGTAGCATATAAAAAGACCAAAAGCACTTCATGTTTTCACATCTCTTAAGAGTTTCTAGGTCAGTTAATTAATAATTGTTTACTAATTTCTTTATCTAGAATAAACTCTTTTAAAATCCTCTATAAACCTATATAGTTCTCCATCACATCTGATATGCAATTTTGATTGCAGTACATAGAAGAAAATGGTTCCTACATCTGATTTGAGTATATCGTAAACCTCAATAGACATGGTTTGTTGCTTCTTTTTCATGTGTTTGTACAATCCATCACGTACATTCTCGTTTAATATTTTTGTATTTTTTTTATTTAGTGAATTTGTTCACTCATGATGGTATTTCTCTTTTTGGTTTAGCTCATTTTATTTGTCGATTGAATATATAAAAGTTTGAATAAGATTGGGTGAGCATGAGGTCAAATGCAAATAATTTTGATCAGTGTCATGTTCAAACGAATAGCATGAAACATGCCAACACAGTCGTTCATTCAAAAGAATTGCTTGTTTTGGTCTTCGAAGCCTTTCAGGTTGAATAATGAAGAAGTCACTTTGTTAACAAGTATCACTTCTTAAATCTGCATCAGGCAAACATCTCAATACGGCCGATAGACTAAGAAATTTGGTTTTGATCCCTTAGCATTAGCTATTAAAAAAAAATTGCTCGTGTTTGTTATGAGATAAATTCCATTTGTATTAGAAATTATTTCTTCCATTTCATTTATTAGTGCCAATCTTGATCTTCAAGATGAAAAAGATGATTCAACTTCGTTTATTTGTTTTTTTTTATTATTATTATCTTGTTGCACTTGGAATTTGGAAGAACTTCATTTTAAGGTGATGTGAGATGTGAAAAAACTAATGAAGAAGTTCGATTAGGGACGATACATGACCAGGAAAGACGTCTCCTAGAGAGCCTTAGTATCAATATGAGATAGCTTATTTGGAGGCAAAATTCCTTTATATTCAAGAAGATTATGAGTAGTAAATCATTATTCGAGTTTTTCCTATATAAAATGTACACCGGGAGCTTGCTCCACAAGGCTCCTTTCATATAGTGTCTATTTGTATCAAGCAAAGAAAGTCTTTGGAGGGCTTCAAATTTTCAAAATGAGAACATAATTTGAAAAGCCCCTTTTATAATATTTGTTCTATAACCAGAGTGTTAAATGAGACTAAAGTGTCTTAGTAAGGGAATATTTTTTTAGATATCATGCAAATGTGACATTCTTTGATGCTTATATTTGAAAGAATGCATTGTGCATGAGGAGTTGTTTTTCATCTTAGCTTACATGAGGAGAAACTTTTCTTGATATCTATGATACTTTGATACTTGTGTGTCTTTGGAAGATGCATTATGCATAAGAGATGCTTTGTTGAATCAGCATGTATGAGATATTTTATTATTATGTCTTCGGTGGGTGTATCAAGCTAGGGGATGTTTTACCTAGCAAGGATGTATCGATCACTTTGATACTTATGTCTAGACAATCACATGCTTTATACGATTAAGACATCTTGGAATACTTTAATGTTTATGTCCTGGGAAGATACAAGGAACTTACTTTATGTAGTTAGAATGTCTTAGACCCTTTGATGTTTATATCTTTGGTGAATGTATGTGTGGTGGAGATGCTTTACCCAATTATAATGCATAAGATATTTTTGTCTAAAAATGTATGCATCGGGCTCAAAGATATGTTTTTTTTATGAGTTATGTTGCATTGAGTACTTAAATGCTTATGTTGCGTATCACTTGTGAAGAGATGTTTTTCCTTGTTAGGGTGTATGAGACATTTTGATGCTTATATCTTGGATGAATGGATCATTATATATTCGAGAAGATGCTTTATTCGGATAGTATAAATTAGATGTATAGGGATCCTTTGCTTGATTATGATACAATGGACACTTGGGATGCTTATAGTCTTGGATGATGTATCTTGCATGAAAAGAAGATTTGATTGATTATGATGTATCAAGCCAAATGACCACTTCACTCGGCTAGAGTGGTTTAATTGATTTAACTAAGTGGGTTGGACGGTGTGTTTGATCATAGTGGTCTGAGCACTTTTATTTAGTTAGTATGGATCGAACATTTTGTTTGCCCAACAAGAGTGTGTTGAACTTTTTTTTTTTTTGCTTAACATTTTTTGAGAGGGTCATCAGAGTAGATCTAGGGCTCGACTCACCTACTAACCTAATTAGGAGCGATCGATCTTTATTAAATTGATTCTTTTAATTATTACTTTTTTTTCTACTAATGGGAGGGCTTCCACCATTAGACGTTGATTCAGCCTTTTGAGTAAAAGAAGATTGTTGGTAGTTTCTTGGCAATCAACAAAAGAAACCAAGATGGTCATAGGTCATTAGCAAAGACATGAATAAGTAGGAAGGGATGATAGTCGCTCACTTGACAAGCCTCCTCTTTGAGCCAAGGATTCATCGGTCCATTGTCAAACTACAAAGAGAGTTATTATGATTCATTTTAGGTAGTGACTATCGATGGTTTGAAGTTTGAATTCTCTCACTAGTTATGTGAAAGAGGTCATAGAGGCAAGCGACAAGTGAGAATTTTATTCATGCATATTTTCTCAATATGTAGTGGGAAAAATCATGAGGGCATCAAAAGTCATATATAAAATTATTTGTACCTTGAATATAACCACATACTCTTTGAATTTATCACATTCATCAAAAGTATCTAGATTTTAAAAGGAAAAAATTGAAGAAAAAATTATCATTTACTAGTTGGACGGAAAGGGACTAGTTTCAGAGATCAACTTGATTGGGTTCTTTCATGAGTCAAATCACTAATCTGTTCATTATTAGTAATTATTTATGTAAGGTTGGACTCATCTTGCTAGTCAGGTTTGCCTAATGTTTAGGTTAGATCGATTGAGGTAGAAGGAGATTGTTGCTACTTTGAAAAGTGATTACAATGTTGGATCGGTCGTTCGTATCGCCAATCTAAAATTCATAGTGGCACTTGGCACCTACTCAAGTTGAGAGGCAGTATGAATTTTGGGTTATAGCTAATGGATTGATCAGTTTTATGACACTATTATTTGCGAGTGAAGAGAAATGATAGTCTAAGAATTAATCTATTGAATATATATGGCGATCAAATCTACATTTCTCGGGACAAAAGTGTAAGGTTATCGGTTTGGAAAGGCATCTCCTCTTCAACACGATATTGGGAGACATCTTAATTTCTATTTTCGTTTGATATTTTATTCAGATTATTATTCTAATAGCAATTTGTCAGTGTCATATTTGGTCATCAACATGACAAAATTGTCCTAATCTATTTTCTTAGAAAAAAATTATTTTGGAGTAAAAAAATTCTTAGATATGGAATGTTGACAACATGAGTAAGGGTGATATACAATGAAAAAACTTTTACAATTTAGTTGTCCGTCCCCATGAAATGACTGACTAATTTGGAGGTAAAAGAGTTCAATTGTTGAGCTTTGATTGGTTATGGATAATCATCATATCACTCACTATTCAATAACATTAGCAATCGTTAGACCAAAATCGAATGACTAGCAGAAGACTATGATATTATCTTTTATTGAATCCGGAGGAAGTCGGAGGATTAGCCGAACAACGGTGGGGGGAAAGACCAAACCAAGTTAGTTTTGCTTGTATTAAAATCCTCTTCTAGAAATCATGATTACACGAACAACGGTGGGGGGAGAGCAACGATTGATTGATTGCACATGGTATAAATAATTAGGAAAGAATTTACCATTTAAAAGGGTAATATGGTGTCACAAACGTCTACAAGAAAGAATTTACCATGCAAAAAATCCTGGGACTCTTCTTCTTCTTCTTCTTCTTCTTCTTCCATTGACTTGGTGTGTTGCAGCTTAAACCTGCATCAACCGTTTCTTAAACGTTGCACATTCACAAACAATAAGAGGACCAACAACAATTTGGAAACTATTAAAAGTAAAGTGTTATTAGTATAAGCTTCGGAATCGACAAGAGTGTGTATTCCATCAACATTTGGTGTTGCATAAGCAGACACCGTAAAGAACGGGGGGCGGGTTTCAGGAGATGGTAACCCACGGAGCATCAACGTCCAACTGCAGCAGCCTCTTCGTGTTCGAATTCCTCCTCAAACACCCAGCACCACCACCTTCTTCTTCCTTGCACCCTCCACGCCTTGTATGCTTCCCAGTCAGCACCTCCTCCACGCCATTTCCGTTGCTTCCAATTCCGGCCATCTCCATGTCCGAGTCACCTCCCTCTTCGTCTCTCTGTTCTACAGCTTCTTCCCTATCCTCTTTATCATCATCTTCTATTAATGGCGCCTTTTTCTCATCTGGTTCAGTCTGTTCCCCCCCTTCATCAACTCCCACCGGCTCAGTGGAGACTAGTCGGAGTTTGAGTCGGCCATCTTTTCTTTCGGCCATGACGAGGAGGGATGGCTTCACAGAGAAGAGAAGCAGCCTTCCGTCGTCCCTTTCGCTCACGACACGGAGGCGTGATTCACCAGAGAGCACGGTTAGCGGCGGAGGGAACCCAGATGACGCAACCCTGTAGTAGTTCCTCTTCTTCATCTTCTTCTCTTCTCGCTTCGCCGCCCGTTTTGCTCCTGCATTGCATCCAAGAGAAGTCAGCAGCAGCAGGTCGCGGCTGTAATCGCTCACGGTGTACTTCACGCCCGTCTCGCAGCCTAAAATCTCGGTGCACACGTCATGGTTTTTGCTGTGAATCACTTTCTCGGAACACGCCGTCGTCGAAGACAAAGGAGATGATACTTTCATCACACGCGGTGACTTATCCATTGCCTCTAACGCACTTTGCGAGGGAGCACATGGAGAAGCGGTTGAACTCCAAGCCTCGCTATTGCCATCGACCCACTCCGTTCCATCGTCAACTTGTTCAGATGGCTCCATGTTGCATGGATCGGTCAGTAGTTGCTGCGGTTGAAGGGAAGACGACGGCCGAAACAGACGCATGAAGATGAAGGACCGGCCAGCAGAAATTAGAGGTTAACAGAGAGACGTGTCTCTGTAGAGGAGAATTGTGTTACCAACTAGTTTATATACGGAAGGAGGACACACGGAGATGTAGATGGAGAAGGAGATGGGGACGGGGACGGGGACGGAGACCGAGACGGAGATGGATTGCGTGTCTTCTGAATCGGCAAAATTTGGGGACAAAATCTTGCCATAAACGGTCGTATACGCGTGTATATTCTATCAACATAGTGTGAAGCCGGAAGCTCCCCCCCCCTACTAACCCACACATGGTCAAAGGTAAATCTGTGGCGACAGAGCTTTTTTTATCCCATGCACAAATCGGCGAATCCGAAAATGGAAATCAAATCTTCTCGTATCCCAAGTCCGTACCTGTAAACAGTCAATGAAGGGATGAATTCAGTCGCTGCTCCAGCAGCTATGGTAAGTAACTCTAGGCGGTGACGGGTTGAATGTGGCTAAGAAACAAGGTTGGCTTTAGCCTCGGACCTTTCTATCTCGAGTATCCAAACGATCTTGGTCAATCAAAGAAATCAGGGTTACCAAGTTTCAGGCCGAATGCAGTTATAGTGAGTTATGTTTGGTTTCATTGGTGGGTAGGTAGAACCGCGGTATCGCACTAATACTGCACAATACATGGGACCACACATTTAAAATCTCTAAAAATTCGCTTCTTCAAAAGCTGCAGAATTAATTAAAATTTTTGTACTCCAAATAATCACTACCATCAAGTCTTTATTATTTCCGAATTAAAAAAGCTAATCTATTTATTTGTAAAACAAAATTAAAACCCTACTGACAGATTCTAATGATTAATCCTTTTAAAATTGAGGGAACTAATATTTTCATTTTTTATTTATTTATAAAATAAATAATTCAGTCCTAATAAATATAAAGAAGTCCCAAACCTTCTTTATATTTATATATTTATTTATATATATATAACAATATATTTTTAGTAAATCTTTTAATAATATTATGATTAAATTTCTCAGGTCACGTTAAAACACTATTTAAAAAGAATTAAAAAATACTTTCTAAATATTTTATTATATTTGTTTTCAACATTCAATGTTCTCGAGGTCAATCTACTCGTTATCTTCTTAATTTTCGAAATAATTTTGGGGTGCCCTCTCTTTAGTGATCCAATTGTCAAACCTCCTCTAAGATATAATTCACTCACTTTAGGTAGCATACTACCGAAGTGGTGGTGGCATAGATTTAACCATCCTTAAGATACCCATTCGATTATTGAGATGGTATAACTATGATTGAGTTGGCCAATGACATTATTGACAATGCAATAGGTATAGCCCTTACTACGACACTAGGCTCACCTCGATATTATCACTTGTACTAGTGTCTATATGTCGATATTAAGAGATTATTTTTATCCTCCATCACATGTGACCCTTATTGTTAGTTTTTAGGCATCCTAAATTAATTTGTGTGGGAGGTTGCCTGTTTTTTTTTGTGAAAAATATTAAGTGTTTGGTCGTACCCGATGTCAATCCTCTATCTCTTCCTTTTGTATCTTTAAAATTTAGGTAAATTTAATAAGAAAAACCATACAATAATATCTTTTTCCAGTTGCTGCAAAAAAAAAAAAAGTCAAAAAATCAAAATGCGTGAGACACTATTGAGTTACTTTCTTACTAAACCAAAATCTTATAACCTTTGTTTAAAGACATGATAACCTATCTTCGGTAAGTGTCAAATTCCTACCAAGCTTCCATGTGACTTATACTATCAGTAGTCGACATATTTAAGCAATTTGTCTAAAACGTGGGGTGGTATTTAGTGAAAAATAGGACTTTTTTTTTTCTTACGTTTCATTTGTTATAGGAAAGTAAAATCAAAATGTTTGAGATTATTGCTCAATTACAATGTTTTTTTTATTACCGAACAAAAATACTATTAAGTCTATACAAAAACACATCAATAAATTCTCACAAGTCTTCCAAGTGACATTTATCATCGGTTCTCAAATATTTTGAAGTAACTTGTGTAGGAGATTGGGTTGGGTAAAAATAGGAGATGTTTGGCATATTTCCAAAGAAGGGTGTCAGGTTCTCCTCCTCTTCTTATATTTTAAATGAATTTAGGTAAATTTAATTAGTAAGACCTTATAGTACCTATTTTTAAGCTATCCTTGAAGAGTTGGAAGTTAAAGTTTATGATAAGGTATTATTATTACTCATTTACAATGTTCTTGAATGGACATAAATAGTTTTTTTCTTACTAGACCAAAACATTATAATTTAATCCAAAAATATTGTAACCCAGCTCCAATAATGCAAATCCCCATCACTCTTCTATGTAACCTTTATTATTGGTTTTTAAACCTCTTAAAAGTGATTTCTGTGAAGGTTGGCTTGTATTATGCAAAATACAAAAGTGTTTAACACATAGAAATCTTGCCTTCATCACTTACCCCTTGTAAAATAAAAAAATAAAAATCAAATCCTCTTTTTTTTTTTTTCTGCATTTTAGCTTTTAATTTAGATAAATTTTCATGTCAATTATCAATTGTTGTAGAAACATCAAAGTCGAAATATGAAATGTGTTATCATCTGGTTATAATGTTCTAAATATACTATACTAGAAAAAGGAGTTAAAATCCTACTTTTTATGAATTTAGTTGCTGAATGATAGTTAATAAGGTAAAGTATTTAGCCATTCAATGTGCTAGGCATAACAGAGTATAAGAATTCAGACCAAGAGGTAATAATTCTCTGGATGGATGGTTAGTATGGATGATTTACAAGATGAAATTAGGGGGGGTATATTTTATCAAACAAACATTGTAGTTATCATAGAACAATCAAAGATAACTCTTTTCAATTATAGTTTTTTTGAACAAAAAAAAAAATTGAAAATCTGTTCGAAATGCAACAACTTAGATATAATGAGTTGACATTCTCACCAACCTAACTTGTCACTCTTATTGTAGGTTGTATGAACCTTATAAACTGATTTGTGGTAGAATTTGGGGGGTTTTGAATATAATTAATAACCTTTTGGCTCATTTCAATGTAAAGGGTGACAAATTTAGGTCTTTTCACCAAAATACTCTAATGTAGCTTAATTTATCTATTTTCAATTGTTTGGAAGAATCAAAATAAATAAAAAAAAATGTTAGACTATACCTAGTTATAGTATTTTTAAGTGGAGTTATATTATTTTTAATGTAAACAAAGGCATTGTAATTTTGCTCTAAAATACTGTAGCCCAACTAAAATGAGTCCTTATCACAGGCTATCAGGTTTCATAATATGATTTATCAAAAGATTTTGGATAGGAATTAGAAAAATTATAATACATTTCAATATGAAGGGTGGCAAATCAAGGCCTTTCCCCTAAAAATCTAAAATTTAGCCCAACCTCTTATGGAGACCATTTTTAGTATTTGTTTTCAATTATCTATCATGGAATAACTAAAGCAAAAAGGGGGTCAGATTATACTAAATTTCATTGTTTTTAAATAAAGTTATGATGTTGTAACCCTGTTGAAAAATACTTCATCCCAGCATGGCCATCGACCTAACTTGTCACTCTTATTGTAGGTTATATGAGGTTTTATGAATTGATTTGTTGTAAATTTTGGGATTGGGATGGGAATTGCGAAACATTTTGATATGAAAGATAACAAATCTAGGTTTCTGTTAGGATCGAAGCGGCACTAACAGGAGGGGGTGAATTAGTCAACGGTAAAGTACGATAAACTTTTGACGATTTAATCACTTTCGGAAACTTCGTACGATAAAAGTAACGATTCATTTGAAACCGTTTCGATTGTATTTTAACTTGAAGGGATACGTAAGAAGGAGACAGAGGTAGAGCATCAAAGTGAAGATGGTTTGCAGTAATATAAATGACAATAAGATAAACGCAAACAGATTTATAGTGGTTTGGTCATGCGACCTACATCCACTTGCGAAGCCTTCTTCGATGAGGCTCCCAACTTCCACTAGCAAATCACTTTGAAGGGGAAGGACAAATACCCCTCTTATAACCTTTTACAAGTGGTTCACACTCTTACAAATTTTCAAAGAGAAAGAGGGAGGTGAACACTCAAGCTATTGAAAACAAAAACTTGCTAAAGGCTTTGCTAAGACTTTTATCTCAATCTCTTGCTTCTCAAAGGTTGTGTTCTCTGCTGAGAATTGAGGGGTATTTATAGGCCTCAAGAGGATTCAAATTTGGGCTCCAAATTTTGAATTCTCTTGGGTTCCTGAGGCTAGCGGTGCCACTGCCTGTCGGTGGCGGTGCCACCGCCCGACCTCTCGGGTGCTGGGCAATGCCACAGCTCAGTCCAGTGGTGCCACCGCTCAGTTCTCGGGTTCTGGGCGGTGCCACCGCCTAATCTGGCAGTGCCACCGCCTACACTATTTCAGCTCACTGGTTGGGCTCCAAACTTGACCCAAACCAGTCCGAATTCAGGCCCAATTTGCCCCTACTTAGGTTATAGGATTAACACCTAATCCTAACCCTAATTAATGTGATAACTACGAATTTAAAGACATTTCCTAAGCTATTACAAAGTCCGTAAGTCAAGACTTTTTCCGACGAGCTTCCGACGAACTTTTGACGATCTTCCGACGAACTCTCGAAAACCATTCTACGGACTCCCGGCAAGCTCCTAGACTTCACGATTTGATCTTGGCAAGTTCCAACGAGCTTCTTCGGCAAGCTCCGATCTTTCTCGGCGAGCTCCGCGAACTTCCAACGAACCTTCCGGCAAGCTTCCGAAAAACCCTTCGGCAAGCTCCCTACTCATTCTCGACTAGTTCCGACAGTAATCCCGACGAACCTTCGGACTTCTGTCGAACTCGCAACAAATCCTTCGCGCTTGACTCCGACACTTTGTTTCGCTTTATGTCTTCATCGTTATCATAGTTAATCCTGCACACACAAGCCAAAACTCTACTCCGATCTAGACAATTATTATAACGCGAATTGACATTCTGTTGCCCGGC